CAATTCTAAATTAGCATGTCAATTCTTCAACAATACGTATTATATAATAAACAAGCATTCAACTAAGATCAAAATAACCATAAAATAAGAACCAAAACAAGAGTAAGAACAAAAGCTATAAACAACAGCAACCTCTCTGAGTTGTGTTGTAGTGATAATATCGAAGTCCTTGGGTGTTCGCTTCAAAATAAGATCCCGAACACAGCCTCCTACAAGGTAAACCTCATATCCTATATGACAAGAGAGTCTTGAGATTTCCAAATTTATACAGAGAAAACAAGTTTCATTCCCTCAGATATAACAGTATAAACATATAAAAAATAATACCCTTCCTTTTGAGCCCATTAAGAACTTTCCTTGTTGGCTTGGAAATCTTTGAAGTACTAATTCCATGATCCTGAGAATTAAGCTTCTTCCACTGTGGCAATTTGCTTTCTTCTCTACTCACTTCAACACCCACAGTTTACAAAAAAAAAAAATTAAATAGTGCAAGCAAAAGGGGAAGTATTAAAATTCAATCAAATAAAAGTAACCCTAGGGCGTACCGCTTTTTCCCGGAGAAAAGTGAGGGCCTTGATTGTCTTCATCTTCGATAAAACTTACTGGTTCATCAAGCGTATCGATTGCAGCAACGGAACTCAATCGAATCTAAAAAGAAATGATAAAAAACGAGAAATAAATGAATTCACTGAAACCCATGTAAGAAAGGCAGATTATTGAAAGATAACCAAACAAAAACGCAGAATTACTTTGCGAAAGCAGTGAAAGAGAGGAGGACGAAGAGAGAAATGAGGCTTGCAGGCGAAGATTAACCCTGAAACCGCCATGGATGGTTTACCATGCCATGATGATGAGGATGAGGTTAGGCCTTGAACCCTAGCCAATGGTTCACTGAAGCTGAAGGGGTTTAAGATAAAAAAAAATGGTCTTTGAAGTTGAAGCAGTAAAAAATGGTGTTTGGAGTTTGGGCTGAAACAAACTCAGCCCTTAATTTGAAGCCGACATTCTGTTTCATGGTAGTTTGAAGCCCAATAAGGCAGCAGATACTATAGAGCAAACACAACTTGGTCCAACAACTCGTGGACCGTTTATTTGTTTTATATCGAATCGATCGAGTCTTTGTTTATTCATAGTTTGATCCTCTATCACGAGTCTTAGCCTTGTTAAAAGCTTTAAGATTATGATAACTGTTCGCAAGTCTTGATTGATTGAAAATTGATATTGAAGATGTTACTTGTGAAGAGAAACTGAAAGAAATATAATATTTATTTCTTTAATTAAAAAAATTATGGTAAAACAATTTAAACCGAGAATCACGTATTAAATCATTTATTGTATTTATGGAAAGAATAATTCATATATTAAACCTTTCTATTTTTTTTGTCAATTTAAGACAAGAAAAGGATTCGCCAAATCCTCTGATGTGTCCCGAGCCGTCCAAATAGATATAGAAATAAATAGGAAGAAGAAGAAGACGGGCTGAAAACGTCAATGGCTTAATTTTCACAACACAGTGCATGTTATGTTTTGTCAGTGTGTTATCGGTAATCAGAGCTTCACAGTGTATGGAAGAAAGAAAAATAGAGAAAAGGCTTTTAATCCTTTGTCTTTCATTTCATGAAAAAGCCATCAATGCAAGCATTGTTTGTTTCCAGGGAAAATCTTTTTCTGCATCAGTTGTCGTAGTTCTTTGCCAGACCTCCCTTTTGTTTCCAATTCCCTGGAAATATTTACGCTTTAAAGGCCCACAAATCAAGACGTTGAAAAAGAAGGAAAAGTTACCCTTCGTCACTCTCGGTAGATATGGAAAACCCTAGTTTTCTTTTATTGTTCCTGTTCATCAACGCCATAATTAATTAGTCGGCAATGGCAAAACTTTGAATGCTGTATTACCAGACAGAGAGGTTTAAACGTAGACGATGGAACATTGGATTTGGTCGACGATCCTGGTGACGTTGTGTGTGAACGTTTGAAACCAAATTCAATAATGTTTTAATAAGAAGAAAACACACTGCAAGGTCTGTGGGCCATACAATGTCTAGGTACCACTTTTAATTTCACATGCCATTAGTTCACCTCAACATCTGAATGAAAATACCATTGAAATCGAAAGGATTCTCTTATGGCTTAACTATTTATTGTTTTTTGTATGTGAATATCCAATACAAATATATATATATATATTAAAATATGTCAAAAACACGTGGAATTGAATTATTTAAGGATAGCCACAGATACAGTGACGTGGAGTCCAGTATTAAAGACACTGAGAAAAAGCAGTGGATAGGGACGATGCAGGCCGTGTTTGTTTGCGGAGGGGAGGAGGGCCCGGTCCAATGATACGTCAGTGTTTGCTTACGTGCTTACGATTGTTAAGTTGTATACCTACTAATACCATTCGACTACTTGTAGTGGCCGATGTATATGTATTTTAGGTGGGTACGTGTTTAATTTAAAATTAAATTTTTTAATATTAATTATTTTATTGATAGTATATATCTTAAAATTTTATGTGATTTTACCTTATTTAAAAAATTTATTATTTTCCAAAAAGTTATTTGTTTTAAAGTTTCAAAACAATCATTATTTTTCAATAGTATATATTAAAAAATTACGGAAATTATAAAAAAGGCAGCTTAATTTTGGTATATGGAATTTAAGCATATAAATGAACCGGACTTGAACGAATAAGGTTCTATTCGTTTGTTTATTTCTGAAGATGTTCGTGAACATTTTCGTTTAATGTTCGCGGACATGTTCGTTCATATGTTCACAAACATGTTTGTTTAACATTCGCTAACATGTTTGTTTAACGTTCGTGAACATGTTCGTTTATATGTTCAGAAATAGTGAAATTATGCCAATAGTCCTTAAACTCCTTAAACTTTATAGTTTAAATTCTGTGGTTCACACTGTATTAAATTTAGGCTATACATTCACCAATACTTAAAATGTAAAAGAATAAAAGGAGAAGGAGAATCATGTAAGCGAGTTGATAAACGAATCAATAAATAAGCTTGTTCATGTATATAAATGAACCAAACACATCTCTGTTCGTATTTTTCGTTTATTAAACGAACATGTAAATCTTATTTATACTTGTTTATTTAACTTAATAATTAAAACATAATCAAATGTTATGTGAACACTTCATCTTATATTAATATAATCCCAAATTTTTATTCTCCTTAGTTTCTAAACTTTAAAATATTTTTTTATCAATCTTCAAACTATCGGTATCATTTAGGTTTTGATCCTTTTATTAGCATGTTATTTATTTTACTAGTTAAAAAAGAATTCTAATTTTGAAAATTAAATCAACAACCTAAAATATCTCAGATTTTTAAAAATATATTATTTTTTCAAAAAATCGTAATTCAATCCTCAAAACCTTTTAAACAAATTATTTTTTAGGAAGTAACAAGTTCAATTCTTAAGAATGTTTAATAATGTAGGGACCATTTTATAATATGGGTCATAGTTTCGGAGACCTCCTGTGAAAATAACTCGTTAAATAATTAAATGATTCATTTGGAGGAGGAGAGAGATTAGGTAATTTTCCCCAAATATCACATGACAGGTTTTTATTTCCCTGTCAGACACATATGCGTGTTTATTTCCCGATCTAATATCTTTTACAGAAAGACGCGACTCATGCATCGCACCTTACGTCACGTGTTGAAAGGCGTGACCTATGTACCGCATCTCATGTCACTTGCAAAAATCGAGTGTTAATTTCATAAATTTTTTTAATGATGTCAAATATGTAATTACCTTTTTAGGGTGATATTTGTGTAAAAATATCAACTTTATTTATTTATTTTTTGTGTGTGCATAAAAAAAACTTTTTGCATTAAAATCTTTAAATATTCGTTTGCAAATTATTTTATAACTCAATAATTTTTTATTTTTACATGAAATTATACAATACGTATAATATAGTGTAGAAAAACTTTGAGGGTAAGCAATTTAAAATATAAATAATTTTATAAAAGTTTTATAACTAGTATTTCATTTACAAAATGATGATGAAGATAAAAAATATTTTATAATTTAAAAAATTATAAATTTCATATATTTTTGAAAAATTTATTAACTTTTAAAATTAATTGTTTAAAAATATAAAAATATAAAAATAAACTTTTAATTACAATTGAGGGATCAAATGAATAATTATAATTTTAAAAGTCAATAAATTTATAATTTTAAAAGTAAATTTATATGAAATATATAATTTTTTAATTATAAAATATTTTAAAAGTTAATAATTTTTTCAAAAATATATGAAATTATTTACAATTGAGGGATCAAATGAAAAATATAACAATTAATTTTAAAAGTTAATAAAATTTTCAAAAATATATGAAATTTATAATTTTTTAAATTATAAAATATTTCTTAATTGTAAAAAAATACTAGTTATAAAACTTTTATAAAATTATTCATATTTTAAATTAAGTTTATTATACTAGATTATATGTATTGTGTAATTTCATGCAAAAATCAAAATTTGTCGAATTATAAAATAATTTGAAAAAAATATTTAAAAAATTTAATGTAGAAATTTTTTTTTACACACAAAAAATAAATAAAATTGATGTTGTTACACAAATATTATCCTAATAAAAATTAATTACATATCCATTTTAAACATATTAACAAAATTAATATCCAATTTTTACACGTAACATAAGGTGCGATACATGAAACACGCCTTTTAACACGTGGCGTTATATCAACATAATACGTGGTGTATAAAAGAGTATTAGATGAAAAAATAAACATGTATGAATGTCTGACAGAGAAATAAAAACCTGCCAAGTGATATTTGGGGAAAATCGCCGAGAGATAAGACCAGTCAAAATAGACAGAGACTTTTGCATGGGAAAGAGTTGAACCAAAGATTTTTACTTGAAAAATTTAACGACCCGTCTTCTTTGATTCCTCTTCTTTCTCTCTCTCAACCTCCTCGTGTTTATATAAACCCATGGCATCTTTGTTTCTCCTCGTAGACCCACTTTCCTTCAATCCATCAGCTTTTCTTCTTTCATCTCTGTTTCTGTGCCTCTCCCATCACTTTCTCTTATGGCAGCTTTTTCATACCCTTTTCTTCTCGACTCCTTTTACTTCCCCACCAAACCTTCGTCCTTTATCATGGACGATGGAAACCGCTTCAACTCCGACTCTTTCTCTCAATTTGACTCACCTCGTCTCCTTTTCCGCCACGAGAGAAGCTGTGTTGTTTCTCAGAGTGATAACGAGCCATCGGTGGGTAAAAAACTGAGCACCAGCGGTGGCGGTTCCGCTGTAGTGGTTGGTAAGCTTGAAAACGGAGAGCAAGTCATTCAGAAGGTGAGACTCGTCGGAAACAGGAAACGGAGGGCCAGAAATGGGACAACCTTGAATTCTGCTAAATCGAAGGTAGATGCATGGTGGTTTTAAACTAAAATTCTTCAGCTTTTCTTATTTTCGTTTTCTTTATTTCGATCAGGATGCAAAAGGAGGAAAAAACAAGTGCAATAATAGCATGGAAATTGAAAAGAAATCTCCTCAAGATCCTCCAGCAGGTTTCATTCATGTAAAAGCAAGGAGGGGCCAAGCAACTGACAATCACAGTCTAGCAGAAAGGGTACTAACATTATAGCTACTCAATTTTTTTAAGGGTTCGACCAACTCTGAGTCACTTCTGGGTCAAACTCACACCCCGGGGTCTAAAATGACCGAGTTGGTTCGTCATCAGGCATTAAAGGCCCTTTAGGTTTTTGAATATTATTGATTATTTCTTCAATTGGATTTGCAGGTAAGAAGAAAGAAGATCAGTGAGAGGATGAAGGTATTGCAATGTCTGGTTCCAGGGTGTGAAAAGGTATGCAGTTCAGTTCATTTGTCTTTAACCGTGTAATAAAACATATTCAAACAGGTTTCCTGTCTGGTTTTCTGTATGAACATAGGTAACAGGAAAGACACTTATGTTGGATGAAATCATCAACTATGTTCAGTCCTTGCAAAATCAAGTAGAGGTTTTCAATTACAAACAAACTCTTTAACAGTTCTTTCCTATAGTATAAGGGATCAAATAAGCAATAATTTTTATCTTTTTTTTTAAAGTTTCTGTCAATGAAGCTTGCTTCTGTGAGTCCCATGTTCCATGACTTCGGACTGGACCTGGAAGCTTTAAATGTGAAACCAGAGGTAAAAAAACTAAAAGCCATTAATTTATTACAAAAGCTGATGAAAATCTCTGTCTCTGACATGTATAATATATTTTTAGAGAGTGAACAGTGAAGTATCAACAACAGCACTGCCATGTCTGCAAGAAAGCAACCCCACTCAAGCATCAGCTTTTGTCGATTCAACAATCGCCACCTTTGCCCCATCTGATGACTATCCTCTTCTGGATGTCTCACCGTCACCTGCTCTTTTACTTCACCAGGGCCAAGCCACCATTGTCTTCTCTCACCCTCAGGTCAATACATACATACATAAATACATATTGTGCAGAAGTTGACAACACATCTTTTTCAGGAGTTGGAGGACCAAAGACAAAAATTTCACAATTCATCTGGACTCAACGACAACTTGTGTTCTTTCTATGAAGTATTTAATGCAGTGCGCTGCCCTACAAACATCTGGTATAGTACCAGTAAGCTCCGATGTCCTGTTTTATTTATTTATATATTTATATATATATATATATATATCCAAATTACCGTGTTAGATATATTCATGTATCTGGTGTTTATCTTTCCAGCAAGCTTGCAGAGAGGATGAATCAAAACAAGGCTTATCTTTTCAATAAACTAAGCAGCATATCTGGAAACATCAATGGAAAAGACCATATCTTTTTGTTGATTCCTTCTTCTCCATTTTAAATCTCCCATACACAAAATTACTTAACCCTACCTTATTTAGCTTAGGGGGAAAACGTTATCAGGTAGTACAAATTATTGTAATATAAAACTCCACTTTATGAAAAGTCTCTTTCATATTGTTGCAGTAATAAAAAGTTATAACCCCATTACTTTATTTTCGCATTACTTGTATATATGCATTTGTATTCATATTTACACACGTATTTATTACGTCAAAGTTTAATTAACTTTTAAATGAGCTGATATTCAATTAATTTTGTATTCGCATGTGATGCATGGAATGGGTGTCGAGCTGCAACATATAGGGATGTTATATGTGTGCTTGTTGGCCAACAAGAGGGAGTCATGAACTTACGGAATTACTTACAAATTTATTCCTATAGTGTACTTTAACCCAATCATATGTCGATTTGCTCCACAATCCCCTGCTAGAGGCACTAAGTAAATCATCACCCTTCGATCTTGCATTACAAACATCCTATAAAAGATATTGAATTATATTTTATTATAAATTAAACAAAAATATTTCTAATATTTTAAGAATGAATAAATTCATAAAATCATTCATTTATATATACATAATTATCTTAATACTTTTCAACTCAACAATATTTTATTTTCAAAGCACCAAATACAACAGTCTTTAATTGAATGGTTACTTATCAAATAAGATGAATCCAAAATCTCTTTCTTAAAAGAAAATCACATTAATTATGTCAAATCTAATTTTAATTTTTTTAGTAAATGAATACTTAATTTATTCTTTTTAGTGATAAGTCTTGGGAACTTGCCACCTGGCTAACTTTATATATAAATTTAATTAGCAACCTGGTCATTGGATTATATTAATTCTCATGATTAAGGGGGCAATTAAGACACAAAGCACAAAACTTTATCCCCATCCTAGAAAACAAAAATGAGCACCAAATTGGCTAAACCAAAAGTGATTTGATTCAAACAAGAAAATTAGCCCCTAATAAGATATAGATATAGGGGACCCTTTTCTGAATAGAATTATATTATTTTGGTTACATGATTATTTTTGCAGGCCCCACATGAAGTGAGCTACATATACATTTAGAAGATGCTGGTTGGGTGAGAAATAATATGATTGAAAATCTATCTTACCAGAACAATCATGCAGTTCCCAATAATCAGCTGTTTGTAGATGCAGGCAACACATGTGGATCAAAACGTTGGAAGCTGCTGACCCACGTGGTTTATTCTCTTGCATGAGTTGGCTCCAAAACTTTCTGGAAATGCATTCCACATTGAACAAAGTTTTTGATATGAAAATTCAGCATTAAAGGAAATTAATTGATTTACAGCTCTAGAAACATCATCTTGCTGTTGCGGAAGACGGCTATCGAATAGAGCAAAATCGCAACTGATAATTTGAGAAAATAAAAATAAAGATAAAGAAGACACAAAATTTACGTAAAAACCCCCTAAATAATATGTGGTAAAAACCACGGGGCAACGGTAGATGAATTTCACTATAAGAAAATAGGAATTACAACCTCTCTCGATATACCAAAGATAAAACAATGATAATTCTCTCTTGATAAAAAAAAGAGAAAACAACTCTCAAGAAACTCTCTAAATTCTCTAGTATTGGGAGAAAGCTAGAATAATTTGGGATGGTTTTGAAGCTAAATGAGCTAGGATATTTATAGTTGAAGCTTAAGGATTAATCTTATAAATACCCTAAAGTATAATGACTAAACATGATAATTTACCCTTACCATATTTCGACAATTGTTGCCTAATATTCAACAAAAAAATCAGCCATTTTTGACAATTGTCATTCGGTGCATTAATGCATTGAAATGGTTTGACTTTCAACAATCTCCCACTTGAAGATTTGATTGAAACAATCATATCTTCACACCATTCTTTCTACCTTGTACCATCATGTTGCTTACGTTTCTGACAGGCCACAAGAGGATCGACACCAAGTAAATTTATTAGCATTGATCGCCTTTTTCATGAAATCTGCTATGTTGTCTTTGGTATGGATCTTCTACATATCTACCGTCCCTTCTTCCACCTTTTCACGAATGAAATGATATTGAACTCGTATGTGCTTTGAAGTTTTTGAAAGTTGAAAACACGTCTGACTTCTTCTTAATAGGGTACACCTAACATCTCCTGGAGTTGTCATCAATAAATGAGACAAAGTATTTTGCTCCGCCTAGGGATGTAACTGGTGCTTGCCATACGTCAGAGTGAACCAATTCTAGAACACTTTTGCCTCTAGAATTTGACGTATTGAATTTCAACCAGTGCTGCTTACTTGTTATGCAATGCTCACACAAAGGAAGTGATACCTTTGTTAAGCCTGGAAGTAGCTTTAGCTCCACAAGGACTTTCATTCCTTGTTCTAACATGTGTCCAAGTTTCTGATGCCATATCATTGCAGAATCTGAACTATTTGAGGCAACAGAGGTTTCTGCTTCTACCAAAGTCTCTCCCTTCAGCATGTACAAGTTTGCAGCTATATTTTCGCCTTTCAGCACCACAAGCGCTCCACAGAACACCTTCATGATTCCTTTTCGTGTTTCAATTTTGCTTGCATTATTATCCAACAATCCGTAGGATAATAAATTTTTCTTCAGGCCTTTCACGTGCCGCATATCTCGAACAACTTTAAGTGTTCCATCATACATCTTTAATTTGATGGTTCCCACGCCAATGATCTCTAAGGCATGATCATTGCAACTATATACAAATCCTCCTGAGACAGGTTCATAATGATGGAACCATTCTCTTCTTGAGGTCATGTGATATGTTGCTCCTGAATCAATGAGCCATATATCTGCATATCTCTTTCTACCTTTCACGGTGGTTGACGTTTAACAGCATAGAGCATCTCCATTATCTGAAGTGTTTGCGGTATTGCCTTGTGGATTGGAATTTTTATTTAGACTCCAACAATCTTTCTTCAAGTGACCCTTCTTTCCACAGTTGTAGCACTTTAAATTCTTCTTGCTTCTCGACTTTGATCTACCATGTTTGTGACTGTTGCTTTGGCCACGTTCCGTTGATCTCCCTCTCATCATTGTCAACTCTTCTGCTTGTTGCAGATTTACTTGTCTGTCTTCCTTGTGCTTGTGCCGATTTTCTTCTTGTAGAACAGCAGCTGCAACATCATCGAAGACTAGACTGATGACATTACTGTTTGTCAAGTTGATGATGAGTTGATCATACGAATCAGGTAGACTTTGAAGTAGAAGTTCCGCACGTTCTTGTTCTCCAATTGTGCATCTTAGGGATGTAAGCTGAGAAAATAAAGTGTTCAGCGTGTTTAAGTGCTTCGCCACTGAAGTAGATTATGGCATACAGAGAGTGTACAATTTCCTCTTAAGGAAAATTTTATTGTGCAACGATGTGGCCTCGTACAATTTGGTGAGATGATCCCATATCTCCTTAGCTGTCTTCTTATCCTCGATGCTTGACAATACTTCATTTGCTAATGCTAGATGAAAGTTTGACATAACATTCCCGTCCATTTCGATCCATTTGTTGTCATCTGTAAAATCTACCGGTCTTTCACTAATAGCTGCTTGACAACCGTCTTTCCTCGGGATGACCTTCATATTCAATTTCCACAATGAGAAATTTCTCCCATCGAACTTTTTAATATCAAATTTTGTTGCCATAGCTTCTATTACGGATAACTCCCACTATTTCACAATCGTGAATAGTTCTTTGGAACCTTCAAAGAATGCGTAATACCTTCTTACTTTCTTATGTTGGAGTATCCTCTTAACAATAACTAATAACAACTAATGAAAGTTTAATACTTAAAAAATCATTTTAAGATTATTCAGTGACTCTAATGTAAATTTTAAAATTTCAGTGACTAAAGTGCAAATATATTAAAATTTCAATAATCATCAGTGTAGTTCACTCTTTTTTCTATTTGATGGGTCATATAAATATAAATGGTGTGCATGCTAAAACACTTTTTCGTATTGTCATATATCTAAAAGAAAATAACAAATAGAAAGTTACATAACATATTGATTATAACGCATGTCTACTATGCTGCCTAACATACAACAATGTATGGCCACTCGAAAGTCGAAAGCTTGTATGCTTGTCCTTTGGCCGACTAGGAAATCCTAATTATCATACGTCGAGCTTGGTTTATGAACTATAAATGTTAATGTTACAAGATAATACCGGTCTACATCTTTATTTTGGCTTTTCTAATTAACAAATCAATATATTTATAATAATCATCATGGGCAAACCTTACCCTTCTCTTTTCTTTTGAGGAAAAAATTGGAAGCGGGATGATTTTTGACGGTTCATTCTTTTTAGTTTGGACGAAGAATTGGTGACTGGTGAAGGAGAAAAAGAGGAGAGATGGACCAAAGATAATAATGAATACTCGTATGAGAGGTCGATCGATTGAGAGAGTCCCCTTATCCAGCCTTTTATAATGATTTATATAGTCCTTTAGTATTGATATCATGTCTAATGTGATAAGGATTATTTGTATGTTGACATGTTAAATAGATATGACTGTCAGATAATAGATTTAACTTGTAGATTATGTGCACACGTCAATTGTCATGTTGAAAGACTATAGCTAGTCAGAAGATATGGAATTCTGGGGGTTTCTCTGTTCTATAGACGAAAAAATAACAACGAAAATGTATGTTTCAGAAAATATCTCAAAAAGGTACAACAAGATTATATGAAAGCAGTTTTATGTTTATTGACTTTAATTATATTAGGATAATGTAATAATTACCGTTAACGTTTGACAAAATCTAAGATGTACTCCTCTATAAAATCTTGGTTGGGTCACCCCCATCTAATTCTGCTGGTAACTTTGGCACTTTTGCCTATTTGATGATCTAGTTGAAGCAATTGACAACGTTTGTTTGGCCTTTTAATACATGATATCATGCATGCATCATCTTTCAACTT